CACATGTACGTAAGCAACGAGGCGCTGCTCCTGAGCTGACTTGTCTATCGCCGCGAGGGGGTCAAACTGTGGTTTTGACCCCTTTGGTCCTCCTTTTGTGGGTGTCTGTGTCTGGGTGGGTTCTGGTGTTGGTGGACCGCGAGGGCCCCATGGTCGGGGTAAGCTGGTGTGGAAGACGGCTCGAAGGGGCGAGGACGGGGAGAGGGCAGATAATCGGTGGGTGTTGTTCCATGGTGTGGTTGTTCTGGTTCGAGTGCGGAGGAGGAGGGAGAAGGGAGGCGAGAGAGCTGCCCGGTGGAAGGTTGTCGTGGAGGACATCATGATTCGCGCCTGGGGAGCCATGGTGCTGGAGGAGAGGGGGCGCGAGACCCTCGTTCGACCGGAAGCCTACTCGACTTTTGTATTCGCGTTCTCTCGCGCAATGTGCGCGTCGTCAGGGATGGGTGTGCCAGTGGACAGGTCGTCGGCGCACAAATCGCGCGGAGGTGGTTGGAAAAGATGTTCAGGTGCCAATGACGGCACAATGGACTCTCGGAGCTTGTCGAGAGACGCTATTCAGGGCGCCATGGTGGCTATGTTTGTCGCTGTAGGGATAGAGGATGGAAGAAGAAGTGTCGCCAGAAATCATCCAGGCCGCGGTGCGAAACTCGGAGATGTTATCCATCCACCCACCTTTACGGACAGCGGGTTGAGGGTGGTGGGGCATTCAATGATGCAATGGCGAGCTCCCGCCTCGCAATGCCGAGAAACCCGGAGAAGCATCAGCCACACCCGGAGCTGAGCTGTGGCTTGCTTGGCAGTATCCCGGACCAAATCCCCGAAGTGACAACATATTGCGGAGCTCGTGAGTGAGTAACCACCGGTTTGATGAGGAGTGACCGAGGCATGCGGGTGACTGTGAGTATCAGTTGTGCTCCAGAAAAAGAGTAACATCTAGCTTTTATTGCAAAAGTCAAAACAGCAGTGGTATCTGGCATACGCAAGCTAACACCCGACCCAACTGAATACCCAAACAAAGAGTGTGACATGCTCCGGAAAAAAAACATTAAAAACAATATGCTATGGTTCAATGTGAGCCTGAACTCCCTTCCGATAATGAATCTCAAAACTCCAGGCCATGCTAAACAGACAATACCCAAAGAAGAAAAATAAAACGATAACTTTTACACCTCCAGAGTGAGCCCTTCATAGGCCCTCTCCACAGTCCGGGTGCCAATGCCGGGCAGCATTTTCAGCTGCGACAATGACGCAATCCTGTTGACCTCGTCGGTGCCATCCCCCTTAAGATTGAGGACATCAACCAGATCCTGCGCCTTCTTGGCCCCAAACCCATGCAGGCCCTTGATAAGCGCCAAATCTCTGGAGTTGACAATATCCAGCAGCTGCTGTGTCCTGGGCGAAGCTGGCCCCGTGCTCTCTTCTCCATCTGATGCCTTGGACACCCTCTTCTTAGACGTCTTACGCTGACGGAGAGGAACATCATCCTCGACATCGGCCTCTGTCCCATCATATTCTCCGTCCTCATCTCTCAGCACCAGAATCTTCTTGGTCTTCCTGGGTGTTGTCCGCTCCTCTGGCGCCATCTTTCCCAATTTGATCTTCAGCTTTTCAATCTTCGCCAACAGTTTTGTCTGTCCGGGGAAGTACGGCAATGCGCTCTCGTACAGCCGCAGCGTTTCCTCCTCTTCGCCTCTCTCCTTCGCTTGGCGTGCCTGCAGCAACAAGCGGAGACCTTCCGACCGCCCGTCCTCTCGGGATGATTCCTTCTCGATACGCTTCTCCAAGGCTTCCAACCGCCGTTTCACGTCTTCGCTGATCTCTTCCTTGGGTTGTGCGGCAGGCTCAGGGGTCGTCGCGGGGGGAGTGAGTTCGGCAGCGCGCGAGGCAAGAATCTCGGCCACCTTCTTCTCCACCATGGCTTCGATCTGCGCTGCCGAGATAGATAGTTGCTGTTCCTTAGCCGGCGCAGCTACTGCTGGGCGGGGAAGACCGATTTGGGTAGGGCGGGCGAGCTTTGATGGCCTGAGCGCCGAATCCGTGACATCCGAAATCCGTTTGGTGATCACCATTGGAGGCTGGAGCTTGGAGGAGGTGTTAGCTACAGCAGGCACGGGCCGTGCTGGGGCAGCGGCAGGCTTCTTGTCAGTATAAACCATAAAAGCCTTGGTCGGCTTGTCGGCTTTCTCGGCAGCCTTCTCAGCAGCTTTCGCCGCGAGAACAGCACCCGTGGAAACATTGTGTGCATTCGCCAATGGCCGAAGAGGCTGACGAATGACATTGGGGCCACCCAACCCAACAGTGCTCCGCGGTAGCTGCTTGAACACAACCTCATTCTCAATTTCGCGAACCTCGATGCGCTTGGCCCGGGAACTAACGTTTAAGCTGCTGATCGTGTCGAGGTGGTAGCTGCGAATGGGGGCCAGATTGAGGATCATGATGGTGATGCCGTTGTTCTGGCCGAGCGACAAGATCCGTGTCATCTTGGACTCCCGATATGGAATGCGCTTGTCGCCACGCGAGATAGCATCGATGCACTGACTCAGCACGAAAAGCGACTTGTTGATGGCGGCCGACTCAATCAGCCTTTCCTTGCCATTGTCCGTCCGCCGGTTATCTTCCGAGCCGGCCAGGTCAATGGCAGAAGCCGTGCTCTCCCGGACCATGTCTCCCGTCGTTTGTGTCACCTTGACCCGCAAGATGGCGTGGCTTCTGCTGCTGTGGGCATTGAGTTTGGTGGCAGCCGTCACTCGGTTGTTGTTGGCTTCAATGTACAGCTTCTCAAAATCCTTGAGGTCCTCGCACGTTCGCTCCGACAAACCCACCACCATTGTCTTGCCGTCCTTCTCGCGCAGTGGAAGACCAGAAGGGGTCCGCTTCTCCGGTGGCTCCAACAAGTCAAACACCTTGTCATTGTAGATTTCGTAGTAGGACAAGGCCACATCCACCGTTGTCTCCCCGTTGCTGTCCTTGGCCAGTTTCTTGCCTCTACGGAAGACGTTACTCAAGAGCCGGGGGATGACACCACGCTCGGCCAGCTTAAGCCCACCACGCATCGTGTGCGTCTTGCCCGTACCCGTCACTCCATAGGCAAAGATTGTCACATCATAGCCCTGGAACAACGCCTTCAAGTGCGGCGCCACTGTTCTACGGTTAGTCTCGGTTCCGGAAACGCGTCGATGCCCAGCGGGTGGACATGCCTTCAGCGGTGAACAATTCCTCCTGGGTGGTGGCCTGGTCGTAGACACTGTTGAAGGCGAACGAGAACTCTTCGGCCTCGTTCTTGGGGCTCGGGATCTTGACAATGGTCAAGGGCTTGCCATCCTGGGCTCTGTCGGCCGTGACAATGACGTCCTTGTCCAGCTCTTTTTCGAGAAGAGGGCGTATTCTGGCGACAACGCGAACCGACATTTCGTGGAGGGCTTCGAATTGTCGGATCAAGGCATACGGCGTGAAGGCGAGGAAAGCAGACGCCGATTTGTTGATGGGAGGCGGTGAGGCTGCAACGAATGCAAGTGTGCTCAGGTGGGCATTTCTCGTCAATGCCTCCAACAAATTGGTGCCCGTGCTCCGACTGAAGCGAGTGGACCCGGTGTTTTTAGCGCCAGCCACGTCAAATTTGAGGGTTAATCACCAAGGCAACAGAGGCTGTCTCCACTGAACCCTGGCGGGTGTCCGCTGTGGAGAGCGCTGTCTTTGGGAGCTGGCAGGTGGCCTGTGCTTTTGAAGATGCCGGTGCCAAGTCCAGTGCTCGAACGGGTTTGTGTCATCCCAAGCTTGGTTCCATGGAATTTACCGGGACCTGCATTTTCCGCATCCCCAAGTCTCGACATCCGCAGGAATAACGACGACGACGAGCCACTCGCTGTGGTTTTAAGGCCACAATGCGCGGTCAAGCGCCTCTTCTCAGGCTATCTCAAACAACAAGGCTAACACGACCAACCACCACAACCCTCTCCTCGAGGCCAAGCTTTGTTTGCTGGCAATGTCGAACAGTTCAGATTAGCGCCTCCCCCACCAACCGGCCAGGCCCCGATGCCTTTGACGCAGGCCGCGCTGCTCAGACAGGTAGGCTCCTGCAACCTAGACACCTACCTAGTGTGGGGATGGGATTGTATTGCTGACAGCTTCAAGATGCCCAATTCGAGGTTATTGGCGCTCCACATTCCCTGCTGTCGGTTTCCCTCTCGGCATCCCAGCGGCTCTACACAAGACGAGGTACCTTGGTGTCAGTAGGCGGCAAGGTGGAAAATGTATGGCTCCTTCAAATCTAGCTTCATGTTGGTTATGGGAACTGATCGTTTGTTTCCCAGCTACACTCCGCCCTCTCGATTCTTTCCCCCACGAGCCGAGCCTTTCTCGGCATCCCGTTCCTCTACCAGCGCATAACCTCCACGAGCCCAGTTACCGCCTTAATAGCCACCAAGTCCGCCAACACAACCTTCTCTATCCTCCGTCTCGATGGCACAACCGACTGGATGGTTGCGCAAAGGAATGCGCTTCTTGCTTGGACAGGTCACACGTTGAGATTATCGCCCCGCGTCCAACAAGGCTTGTCGCTGGCACACTGGGGCAACACATACATCACTGGCCGAGGGTTGGCGGCTCTCTCGGCGCCAGGACAGGTCTATGATATGGTTCTCAAGGAAGGGGAGGAGATTGTTTTACACCCATCACACGTGGTCGCTTATACCATCAACAAGAACCCCCCACGGCCCTTCCGTCTCAAGAGCACCACCTTAAGCTTCCAAATTCCCACCGTCCCGAGTTCGATAAAAGCCGCCTCCCAGAGGTTCATGCCCGACCGAGTGGCCAGATTCTGGAACGCTATGCGCGATACCTCGATCTACAAAGGACTTGCCAGCTTCCTGTTTAGCCTGAGAACGGCCACCAGAAGGACGATATGGGGTGACAGGCTATTCCTCCACTTTCAAGGGCCGAGAACCATCCTCATGTCCAGCCGCGGTGTTCGGGTTAGGGATGTCTTGACCAAGGACGACGTCAATGAGATTGCAGATGCCAAGGCGGGCGTGGTACCAGAGGCTGTTGAGCTGACCACTCACCCCAGGATTCAGGACAAGAAGGCGGAGGATCAACCGACCAAGATTCACATTGCCAACGTGAAGGGGGATGGCAAGGTCAGCTTTGAAGACGCAAAGTCTCTGAATGAGTTTGTGAGGTGATGGTAGTAGGGTTGATACCCTTGGCGGGGCAAAAAATTGTACTTTTATGATGTTACACACGGATAAAAACTCTGTGAAAAATGCACATGTTCATGTCCTGATGTTGGGTAAAGGTAGCACTTGTGTTTAATGACGTTGAGCGAACCTCGGGATGCTCCGTGCCAAGGCCTCTCTCTCTCCACACCGTTGTAGACCAGCGCTTTAGTCAACACTTTCCTTTCCTCACCGAGTATTCTACACCTTCGCTCAGTCATTCTTTTACTCTTTCGTCACCGACGTATTTTTATCACGCATTCTACACCGGCGCCGTCGCCTCGGGAAATGGCCACTTGAGTTGCGACGATTTTGGGAGAGATGGTGCGTGTGTGTGGAGACAACACAGTCCGCCAAATCTGAATCCAGACTCGATTCCCGACGCCCCAGATCTCACTTGCTTGCGGCTGGCTGCATCTGCATCTTCAGCTCCAGTGCGGCGCGGCGGATGGGTGTGTGGTGGTTTGTTTCAGCGCAGCTGCGAGGCTGACTCGTCACTCTTTTTGACCAACAGCTCTTTCTTTTTTTTCTCATGACGCTCCTTACGGCCAAGACAATGGTCAATATCTTTTATCTCTTTTGCTACATTGCTTGAGCTTTCATTATCGAGTTTGCAAAGATACATAATGGGGGGCTTGTTTATTGTCCCGCTTCCCCTCGCCATCCCTCTCATCTTTCTCGTTGTTGTCCTCATGCCTTTTATTCCTGTCTCCTGGCCGGGTATTATTACTGTCCAGATCTACCGTGGGAGACGAGACGGTATATCTCCAAGAGAGATATCGAGAAAGTGTCTAAAGGGAATCGCATGGAGCTATGGTATACCATGCATCACTATCTTGGTGTTATGGATCATGTGCATCGTGCAAGTGGTGTTCGTGATCTGGTGGGCGGTGGGACTGTGTCGGAGGGCAGGGGATATCAACGAGTGGAAGAGGTTGGGGAGGCAGATGGTGGATTTGCCGAGGGAGGTGCAGAACCTGTGGTTGAGGGTGCAGGTTTGGGGAGGGATGAAGTTGAGGGAGAGGCCTGTGGTGGAAAAGGGGGGGGAGAAGAAAGAGGAGGAGCTGGAGGAGACAAAGCGGTATACTTTTGAAATGTTGGGCACACCCACTTCGGTGAGGCTGTTGACTATTTTCCCCGAGGGGGATTACATGGCGCCGCTGAGGGGGGAGATTAGGAGTGTGGATCTGCGGACGAACCCGACGTACGATGCGCTGTCGTATACCTGGGCTGATGAGGAGGGTGAGACTGCAAAGACGGGTCACATCTCGCTGGTGTTCAATGCGAAAAGGGGGATATACCGACAGCTTGGGATAGGCCACAACTGTGAGCTGGCGATGCGACGACTGCGGCGGAAGGGCAAAAGCAGGACGATGTGGATCGATGCTGTGTGTATCAACCAGGCTGATCTTGAGGAAAGGAGTCAGCAGGTGAAGCTCATGTCGAGGATATTTGTCTCGGCGAGACAGGTGGTGGTGTACACCGGTGAGGGAACGCCACAGACAGATGGGCTGTACGACTGGCTCAATGATATTGATGCTGAGAAACTGGCGGTGCCATCTGGGGGTCTGTTTAGTCCACAGTCGGCCCTTCAGTTTCTTCACCGGCCAGAAGGCGTCCTCGGCAAGCTGCAAAAGGTCAGCAACGACGTCGCCGTACGAATGGAGGAGATGGGTCGGCTGATAAGAGGATATTCTGAAAGGGTGAAAAGGTTGCTGAGGGAGCTGCGGATGGTCTACTCGATGGGGGTAATACCCAGGCGACCGCCGGAGCCGAGTGACTTGCACCGGGTTCTGAGAGAATACTTTTCCAGACGGTGGTTCAAGAGAGTCTGGGTGCTGCAGGAGGCTTCCCTCCCAGAGATGAAGAGGATCCGAGTGTTGTGCGGTAATCGAGAGACAGCTGGAGAGCGGGCTATGCATCTGTTGAGCATGCTGATGTCTCAAGGCCAAGGGGATATCGACGTGGGCAGGGTCTTTGTTTTGCTACGACAAAAGCCCGTTGCTAGCCAAGAAAGGAGCTCGCGAGGCTCGCATCTGCTGGATCTGCTGATCGAGACAAGGGGCAGACAGTGTGAAGACCCGAGAGACAAGATCTTTGGGGTTCTCAATATTGCTCACTGGCTGGATGGATTGGGAGCTGGTCGAGAAGAGTTGGACAAGGTCAGCTATTTCACGCCTGTGGCGCAAGTGTACGCAGGATACTCAGCCCTTCTTATCCGGCGACACGGACCTGGGTTCTTTTTGTCACTGATCAAGTCTTCACCAGCCATCAAGGGCTTGCCGTCCTGGGCTGCAGACTGGACTGTGCCTTGGCCCAACTCAAAGGCCTTGCAAGGTGCTGCTGACTTTCCTGCCCGATCGAGATATTCTTCTCAAAAGGACAAGGCCCTAGAGTTCGACCCCAAGAACAAGGTCATGAAAATTATGAGACCGAGGATAGTAAGGGGCTTCTTTGCCTGGACCGGACAGGGAGATGGCGAGGATACGATTCAGACGGTGGAGGTCAAGCGGTTGGACCGAGAGGAGGTTTTGGTCGAGATTTACCCTGGGCTGGCCATGTTGTTGAGGCAACATGGTGAAGACTGGGCATTTGTCAAAGTATGTCCACACGCGTTGGATAAGGTGGGGGTGGAGAGGCTGGTGGCTAGCTGGAGCAGGACGGTGGTCTATCAGGAGAATCCAGCCAGGATACAAGAGGTGGATGAGGAGGTTGGAAGTATCAGGTCGCGGTCCCCCAGGGGCTATCTTGGGAAGACTAGAGTGTGGAGGATTGTATGATCTAATCGATAAGACACACCTCACGTGCCGGTAATATTCTGCCAGTTGCACTCCAGGTGCCGGAGTGAATTGTTCCTGACAATAGCAGCGAATACCTTATCTCATCACATTTTCCCACTTTCTTATCCGTATCATTTGCTCTTTGTTTCTGCTGGCTGGGAGACGACTTGAATCTTATTTTCACAATCTGGCACTCTTCTACCTTTCACCTCGGTACATCGCAACTTTGATAGTTCAGTCTACTTGGCAAGTTTTACGAGACACACCTGGGTACACAAATCCGATGTCAAAAGCCGGTGAGTAAAGTTCTCAGAACCGCCTGAACACTGACTGTGACTAATACCCTGTCAGCCCTACCACTATCCTTCATTATATCGAAGCCAATTTCGAAGTCACAATCATGACAAGCTCACAGTCATTCCCCCGCTTCCCCAGACTTCCCGCTAAGATCAGAGTCGCTATCTGGAGGGAATTTTTCATTGCCAAACGGCTTGGGCCAGATCGCTCACGACTTGTCCACGTCAGCCCGCGTCATGAGCCAACAGCGGGCGCCGACACGTTGTTGGATGCCCGACTCGTCGGCCAACCATCCAGCGTTCGTCCACCAATTCTGGACCCGACGACCGAGAATAAACCATCGATACCCTGGCGGGTTTGCTGTAGAGCACCTTCAGTACTGCTCCTTGTCTGTCACAAAGCCCGATCCGAGGCGACGCGCTGGCTCCGCAATCAAGCCTTGCTCGGAGGCAGGTCAATCGGGTTTCTGTATCCCAGTAACTCGGTCTACTTCGACACAGAACGCGATATTCTCAGTCAGGCCTTTGAAGATGTGTCTATTTGGAATGGAGATCTGATCACACCTCAGGCTGCATATCGATGATTTTTGCGTCAACCCAACATTCAAGATTCCGGTCTACGTCGGCTCCAGCCCACCATTTCACGGGCTGTAGTACCCTGGCATCCCGAACCATATGACGCATTTAATGCCATCTTTCACTCGTTACAACCTCTAGCATCTGCGAATCTTAATCGCTATTCTCCTGCGACTTTCTTGAACCCTTTTTTCATCAAACATCTCCATGCCAATATCCACTGCTCTCGCATTCGCGTCGCAGAGAGCTTTGATGAAACTTGCCATCGCGATGGAGCGGGACGCATCCGTTGGTTCCTTCAACACCTGCTACCACGGCACGAGATGCCGTCGCTAGGAATCTGGAGGACCACGACCATTTCCTTGACGTTTGATGAATTGTCGACCGGGGACAGTTCGACAGGCGTAGTTCGAAAACACCGGCCTGTGGTGATCCGCCTGATAATGAGCGGTTACATGGATTCTGCTACAAATACGGGTCTGTCCCAGCAAGTTGTCATGTACGGAAACGACTTGGACCTGGCACTGAGGGATTGGCATGCGCAGCATCCTGACAGCTATGAATCCGGAGGGGCGATTGCTGATATCCTCGACCGAAATGGAGCCGTCATTCGGAAGAAGCCTGTCAGCAGCCAGACGACTTTTCTTTTTCGGGTCATAGATCCCAGTTGTGAGACGAGCTATCTCACTGACTCTGACTACGATTTGGTTTGGTTTGGGGAGTCGAAGGCTGTCACACGGCAAAAGCCACCCACCTGTAACCACAACCAACAACACTGTCGATACCACCGCAAGGAGGGGTAACTGCAAGTTGTGAGCCTCTCGTTCAAAGTGAGGCAGACAATCAGAGGCATGGCGGTTATCAAAGGAAGCCCACTGGCCCAGTAGGATATTGAAGGACTTGGCGATGGCCTGAGGCCAACAAAGGCACGGGCCACGCGAGGGAGGGTAAAATACGCGTTTGGAAACACCAAGACTGTATCTCTTCTTCTTCTTTTCGGTATCACGCTCTTCGAGGCCATTGAAGATTATTAGCCTGAATTGAACCATGAGTTCCAAGCCCTGATATTACAGCCCTTGTCACAAAGGCCAACTACCATGGCAACGCGACAGATAACCGGACGCGAGAGGAATACCTTTCCCAAGTCTTTAAAATGATGCGCATTCCTCCTTCAGTCATGTCGCTAAATGGCCACATTTTAAGCGGACTGGAGAGCTCTTTGATGAGGTTGATCCTTTTTTTTCAGCGTCAATCGATTACGCAGTTCAACTCGCAGTGGCAGGCTAGTTTCACGCCATATGCCTTCACCATACGGACCTGGGGTATCTGCGGCGTTGACTTTGGGATGGGGGATGCCACTTATGGCAGGGCCAATCTTACAGGATGGAGGACTTTGGAAAAGGATTGGAGGGCATATTCAGGGTAGCTACCTGGACAGATGCATGTACCATAGGTGGGAGTCATTCGCATTTGAGATGAATCTCCCAAAACTGTATACCTTGCTACCTTAGAGCTTCGTGTTTGTTTACCTCTTGTGATTTGTACATTAATCAAAATCCACTAAAGCAGCACTTTTAGCAACCACACTCAAAACTCTTTTGCCACTTTCAAACCTTAGTCACTCATTACACAAAACCAGACTTTGTTCTTTCTTCAAGAGGTGCGGGCCTTTCTGCGGTTGATCACCCCTGGTGCACCAACTGCCAAGACGGGTGTGAATCCAGTATCAAGGTTAACGCTGTTGAGATTTTCATCAGGGGCACGAGCAGATCCAGCGGAAGATGCCGCTTCTGGGTCTGGCACTTCCTTCGTGTGGTCAGCGACACCAACCATGGCGTTGACGGTGCCGAGATGCTCCAGCACGTTCTTGTCTTCCACCCCGCCGATGGGCCGCAGAGGCATCTTGCTGATGGGTTCCGCGTCGCTGCCAAGCTGATTGGCAATGCGGATAATGGCGGACGAATCAAGAGTCTCTGTCCAGGTGGGTGAGCTGTAGATGTACAGCGTGAGTGAGAAGGATGGTGATGCCAAGGGCCTGCAGGCCAAGTAAAACCGAGATGACGGCGATGCCTGCAATTCCTCCACCGATGTGTGGCTTGACTGCCTCGGCCTTGGGGGCGTAGTAAATAGGGCGGACGAGATAGGGCGAAAACGAAGACCGCGGCCAAATGGTAAGCACTGCTTCATTGGCAAATGAAATGGCTGTGTCGATCTCTCCGATATTCGGCCCCGCAAATAACCCATTGAAAAATCCTCTCAACAGGTCTGCTACTCGTCTTGCAGCCTCCCTTTCGTCCATGAAGTTCCCGTCGACTCCCACTTCACGACAGCCTCGCCGAAACCTCAGCGACAACTCGTCAAAGAGGAGAACACCTGTGCCGGTACACATTGTGCGGTAAGCGTCCCACCAGGTTGCGTTGGGGTAGATGGAAGGTCTTCGGGCCTCGTGGAAAAAGCTGCCGGGACCGACCAGGGTTCGAGCTGAGATGGAAAGCGGCCCTGGGGCGACAAAGGTGCCATAAACTGCCTCGTGGTCGGTCTCCCATATCCCGGTTTAAGTTGACCTTCTCCATGGCTCGCTTGAATTTCGTGCTGGCAAGTCGTACCACCAGCTATCAGAGGGTTCATGAGTTCCCCATTCGAGGGAACAGAATCTACCAGGCGACCCGGGGCAAGGTCCTTGCGGAAGTTGGGAAGCTCAAAAAGCCACGCGTTATGTTGACGGTGCAAACCGTGGTAAAGTTCTGCAACGATCTGCTGACGATTTCGGAGTGTTTGACTTGGATGTAGAGCTGTTCTGTGATGTCCTGCCTGTCCCAGCTCGCTGACCATGGGCTCGCTGACCATGGGCTCGCTGACCATGGGCTCGCTGACCATGGGCTCGCTGTTAAGCAATCTCTTAGTAGCTACCATCGTGTGATCGCCAAGAAGAAGCGGGTGAATGGAAAGTAAAAACTCACCACTCCGATTACCGGGGAGCGCAGATGTTGACAAGGAAATATTCATCAAGCCCCTCGTTGGCTGTCATCCATGACACAAACGGCTTAGGTCCAGGGCAAGGTAAGGGGAAGTCCTCGTCGGGAATCTGTGTGCAAACCAGAACGCTGCTATTCAAACGCAGAGCATGCGCACGAATCATGCCCGTATTCGTCCCCATGGGCATCTTTGAAACAAAGTATCTATCTCGCTGAACGGAACCACGAATATTCGGGACGGCCAGGCTGTAGTGCTCAAAGCCCCAAACATGAGGCTCAGCTTGTATGAATTTTGTAGATAATAAACAACCCCAGGCTTTGCCTACGGCATCGTATTGTCCGGCCATGGACAGTTCGGCTGGGTCGACATCGTGTGCCATTAGGTAGCCGGGGAACCCAAAACAGTTTCCGCTCGTGCTATTAGCAACGGTCGATAGTCTCAGGAGATACGACAAGGGACCACACGAGTGGTAGGGTCAGAGCCGCTGCCAAAAGCAACACTGCGAAGATGGAAAGGGGCGTATATGAAGCTGTCAGCCACCTTCCATCGGCGAGAGCGAATAGCTGGCGGGCGCTCAGTGTCTGTTTGGGAGTACGTCGCTGAGAATAGACGACGGCGGCGTGAGCCAGAAGAGCGAGTATGACGGGGATTGATATGAGCGTAGTGACGGCATTGAGCGCTTGGATCGCAAACAGAAACTGGGGGCCTTTGTTTGTGTCAAGAGCAGGATATCCTTGCGAAAATGCTCAGCCATGTTCAATTGCTGGAATACGCCAGGTTGCATGAACTCGCCTTGAGGATATACTCACGGTGAGCATAAGCAGGCAATGCGCGGGTCATCGACAACTCATCGCGGGGATGAATTGGCGCCATAAGGACAGGACCCTGCAGCCGAACGGACAAGGCGAGATTTGGGGTGGCCCGTTACAAGTGCAAGATGTTGGCATGTCTTAGATCTGGAGATCTACACGTCCTTCTAAGGTTGTTAAGCTGGGGCGATATGCAAATAAGAATAGCAGAATTCCCTCTTGAGGAGGCACTGTCGCTCAGACATCGGTTCATCTCTCAGCCCTCCAAGTTCCTCCGGGACTCTTTCATAAATTCGAGCCGGTCTCTTGTCTTGCCTATAACTCACGATGACCGTATTCAACAACACCTCGCCGACTCCGTTGACCCTAACCCAGGTCTCCGTCCTGGACTTTTTCGTCCCCGGCTCTACTAGCATCCTTGCCGCCATCGAGCTGGTTCTGGCTACAAACAGCTACTTCCGTCCCCTGTTTCTCTGCATGTTGCTGGCGTTCCTGAGCACACATGTTCGCAGATACGTCTGGGGCGTGGCGGAGACTCACTTTGGTTCGTCCCCTTGCCGGCTTGAAGACATCTTCTAATAGTTAGCAGCTTCGATAGTCCATATTCAATATTCCAGTCAAGTGTACGATATGGCTGCTCTCTGGTTTGCCTCTCAACCATTCGCTCACAGGGCTCGGTCATCCCCGCACTACTCTCCTTGGAACGGGACGTTTTACTTCATGAGTGCGAGGCCAAGGTATATGCTCTGCCCTCCGGAAGACTGGTAGTTCCTACTACTGATCCTCGTTTCACAGGACGTACGGTTTCGCTTCCGATGTTTTAAAGGCAGACCAGGTACCGAATCAGCAAGCGGCCGATTCCCGCTATCCTTTTAAGAAACGTCAAAGGAGTGTCGCTACACTATCTTCAAGCCGAGGAGCTAGGGGATCCTCGTCTTCTCGAGAAACTCTAGGCTATATATATAACCTACTTACGGAAAATGGTATCATTAGGGGATCCAGCGCTTTATAACTTTCTATATGTTAACCGGAGGATCGTTACTCTTGACTTCGAGTTTTCCTACCCTCTCCCCAGTGATATAACGAATGCGGATAACTTGGAGACCTTGAAAGACGACATTCAAAAACGAATGGGGCAGGCACAGCATCCCAACCCCGGATCGGGCTTCAGTGCGCGGCCTTTAAAGCCCCCCACCCACCACTGGGGCGCCCGAAAAGAAGCCGACTGCGGTGCGTTTTGAGGACTGGTGGGGCGGTCTCCCGAGGCCATCACGAGTAGAGGGGGTAATGAGGGACCTGGCTATCCTACGGGTTCACTTACGTTGTGTGACTTTTCGGTAAGGGCGGTCCTGTAGAGATACCCGAGGGGATTAAGAGCGCGAGCCTTCTGATTATACCAATATTATCTATAACATTAACTAGTTTGTTTGTACTCCGGAGAGGGAGAGGAAATTTGCCAGGAGCGGAGAGAGGCTGCGAAAGGTATAGAGGCAGGTGTTGTTGGTAGCGGCATTATCTGACTAGAAATAGCCAGCAATACCAATATCTATACTAAGGAGTTGCGATCGTCGAGAAAGTGGGCGATAACGGCCAGCAAAGAGAATCCATAAGGAGAGGTCCAAATGTCGAAGGATATATGGAACTTGGTGATGGCCGTTGCCAGCAATTGCTTCAGTAGGCGACTCTCCCGAGTATACCGCTCCTCATCCGACGACGGCCAGTATGGCCCAGTCAGCGGGGAGCAGTTGATCAGCCACTGGGAGGCGCTTGTGAATATCCTTCTCTTACAAGGCCTTCCTGCAAAAGTGATCTACCTCACGGTAATGAGGGAGGCGGCAATGACCGTCCTTATTTTACTCTCCTCTGTCTGGAAGCGGCGGATGACCGTGTTCTGGATCGCTCGTCTGATCGCTGTCGCCGATAGATTATACAGAGAAAGAGACGGAGAAGAGTGGTGAATTAGAGCATGCTACAAACACCTAAACCTGTTGAACATTGTTCCTCCAGTGCCCCTCCTTCTCACAAACAGGTCGCCATATCTCCGGAACGCTACTTAGCCCCCAATCGGCCTTCGGCCATGAGCCGCTCGATCTCGATGCGTGCTTCAGAACGCGCCTCGGCCACACGCCGCTCCATCTCGATGCGTGCTACAGAACGCGTCTCGGCCACACGCCTCTCGGCCTCGCTGCGCTCCTCAGCCACACGCCTCTCGGCCTCGCTGCGCTCCTCAGCCACACGCCTCTCGGCCTCGCTGCGCTCCTCAGCCACAAGCCGTTCCATCTCGATGCGTGCTTCAGAACGCGCCTCGGCCACACGCCTCTCGGCCTCCTCATACGGGTTTTGCTCTTGATCAGTAGCCTCCGTTGTGAATTTGGTTGGGTTGTGTAAATGGCGAGCTTTGCGGAAGATAGCCCGAAGTCGTTCGAACGTTATGGTGATCGTGGGATTCCTATTGGCATGTTAGATCTGTTGTGTTGCCCGAAATAAAGAAACGACAAACCTTGTGACCCCAGCAGCCAACTCAACAGTCGAGGGGCGACAAAACGCTGTTGGTACACCAGCCAAACTGACCAAGTCAGAGAGATAGAGATCAACCTGTCCAACAGGTTGTTGAACAAGATCATCATCATGGTACAGTTCAGAATGCTGTACCCAGTCGCTTGGACTGCCCGCTACCAGCAGACTAACCCACGCCTTTTTCATATGGGGATATTGAAGATCAAGGATCAGAGCGACTCGGATCTTGCCGTCTGAGCAGTTGATGTATTGGCGCGCCTTCCTTTCCACATGTTTCCGTGGCTCGCTCTACGAGACCTCGCAAACCAAAGATGGCAGGGCGCCCGCCTGGCCGAGCGAAACATCGGCTTGTTTATGGATTTTCCTTTCGTATAGAATGTTAAAGGTACCCCTCTCTTCGATAGACTGCATTAGGCGGCGAATCGTGGGATCATCCGTGGTGGCAATACGCTCTGCAAGACGGTTTTTGATGTAGTCTCGAAGGCCAGCTTGAACCTGATAATGGAACTCGGATTCGCCCATGATGTCGATATGTACGGTACTAGATTCGTAGTCGTACTCGAATCGGCGGATTTTTCTTTCGTCAAGTGCGATCAGTCGGGTGTCCAGTTGTTCAAAAAGATGGTCGAGTCTGTCTGCCTGCCACTGGAAGCTAAGAATCGACTCGCTGCCACGGTGGCGAGCGCTGATGATGTATTCGATGATCTCCTCAACCGTGGAAACGTCTAGCCAAACCTGTGAGGTGTCAGCATCTGCCATCTGCGCAAGGGAGAGAGAAATAGAAGGGGCAAAGTACAGGCTCAATATGACCGCTACCCGGCGAAGCAAGCGGCCTTGCCGGCAAAGCGGGGGGGCTTTGCGACGCCATTGCTGGTGTTAATGGGGAAACAGGTTGGGGAGGAGGAGGGAGGACGAAAAGGGAAGAAAAGCATGCTTACCTCTGTACAAATGAGTCCAAGCGCCTTGGTCACACGTGTGTCCAAGCGCCTCCTTATCCACGTGATATATGTGGGTTTGATATATTGTTCCGGTTTAACGGGATCAAAATTAAATATCTGCTTCTCGTGCCCCAAGGGGCCCCACTTTACTGGACGAATGATATCCCCGTTCTACGTGGCAAGCTTTCTTGTTTTCCGCTCTGCGGATAACAGCTGCCTTAAAACGGGAGCAACCTAACGGAGCTTTGCAGCGTTTCGCACCGAATTAGGAAACCTCTGCTTTTTGCACTGATTTACTTCCCTTCTATAAGTGTACAAGCGAGCACTTCTTTGAAGATTAAATGTGCTCGTGGAGAGACTTACCCTATCGCAACCGCTCGATAGCGGTGGATAACACGGCGTGGGCAGGCGTGCCATTGGAGTTGGTGTCAGGAGTTACCAAATGGACGCCCTCCTTTTTAAGTCAGTTAAACGCTACGGTATAGTGAGAAAAAAGTTGTGCAAAAATGTTAAGACTTCCGTTGATTTGAGCCGCTTACTGCACAGCACACCCTATTGTTTATATGCATGCCTGGCCCCAATCTTTTCTGTTGGTGTTCATTTAAGTTGCAGGGATACGCAGAGCTGCATTGTCGGCAAGAGAGACTTTCTCGAAGAGCCGCCATTCCCAAACTCCAAACCACAGAGATAAACTGACTCAATTCTAAAACTCTCTTCAAAGGCAATTACTTGATATTTAACTGACTGCCCGACTCTAGCTTTAATGTTTTAACCTACCTACAGCGCCATCTTCTGCCGTATCTCTCTAAGATTTGGCATCGTTGCCACCAACCTCCTGCTAGTATATTTTTGTTGGCAGTTGATGTCACGGCGGTTGCACCGTGTTGAATTGTCAGGGCGGTAAATTCAAGGGTATCACGTGACTGGCAGAGCAGGGTATTAGGACATCGAACATCTGCAGCTTAATCAACACGTTGCCCGCCCTACAGTTTCTCATGCTCCAATTGTAAGCGCTTTAACCTGTGATACTGTGGATACGTGGCTGTTGGTCTTTCAACACACCGTGACCGTCGTTGATCCAGTGATGGAGCTTGGCACGTGCAGAGCACGGGCCAATGCGACTTGAATGACTTCGCATCTCGCTGCCGCGAGACCTGTTTGTAGCTCTTTGAGCTACGTCTTGACAATAGAGCCTGCCCGTACCTGACGGAATAGAGCCCAGACTGTAGCTTAGCTGAATACTACTGTCATTAACCTGTCAACCTGTGTTACCCGTGACAGTTGATGTGAGGGCAGCGTATTATGCAGGGCAAAGGCACCAGTAAGTGATGGCTGTATTTGTAGGATCTTGATCTAGAAGTAAAAGAGAAGAGTAATTACCAGCCTGTGGCCTGCAGCTAGAAATAAACAACTTCTTTGGAGCAACTCCACTAGCCAGGTTTGGAAAGTGGGGCCCAGGCACCTGACTGTCACCTGAGCAAACCAGCACTGTCATAAAGCTAAGGTGCCAATAGGTCAGGGCCAATACTGTATTCCTGTAGTTAAAGTAATCGTAAAATGAAAAGGAAAAAAAAAAAAAAAAAGGAAGGTTTGTGGGTGGCCTGCTTGCTCTCTAAGATATCCTTGCCCTAGCCTCCTTTCCGTGCCCCACATAGCCTGTACTCCCTCTTGCTCTTTCATTGGCCGCAGCTCCCTCTTTCCTGTTGGCTGCAGCTTTCTCCTGCTCCTTCTGCTCCCTGCACCCCTAACCCTGTACTATGCTCTCTGCTATATGCCATCACAAGCACCATGGTCACCTTTTTAACAATAATGATAATTTATTTTAATTATAATAGTTAAAATACTAACTAATATAACTTAAATTATATATTATAGAATTATTTAATATTTATTTAATTCCTTCATATACGTAGACCTTAGAGTTCTGAATTAATTATAATTAAGCCGCCCTGATTACGTCCTGATTAGCCCTACTAGTGATTCATTGTAATTATGCCCCGATCACCCTGATTACACCCTGATTGGCTGCTCCTTATCTAATCTAACGATTGGCTGAGCGCGCCCTGCGCCCCTCACACTGTTTGACCTGCCCGTTGGCTTAACTGTGACACTTCCCCACCGAGCATTGACTGCATGTCACATCACCCAGAAAAAGACACAGTACTAGAATGTAAAAAAGACGAACTTGATTGATTGCAAAATAGACTAAAAGCCCATGTACTAGGGGAAACAAAGACCAATACCATAACCGTCTTCTCCCATCAACATCCCATCCTTCTCTCTCTGATCACTAGCGCCTTTCTCCACACCAACTCCACTCGGGACAGGGCTTGCAAGCCCACGCGCAAAGATGATGGCATCAAAGGGTTAATCAGGAGACGTGGAACGGCCCCGGCGCCCGGACAACTTGTTCAGCTCGGCCTTGAGCGCAAAGACGTCAGCTTGAAGCTCGTCATTCATTTGCCGGAGCCCCTCCACTTACCGAAGACGTCTGTCCTCGAGTATCACATGGAGGGGGAACAAGGACCTTCCCTTTATCTTTGCCGTGAGGATGTAGCGTTTGATCTTGTTGGTGTAGTCCAACACATCCTTGGCACACTTGACACGGCCCTTGGCCTCGACAAGACCACTCTTGGCATCCTTCAGCTCCCTGACGACATGGTTGGGCAAGCTATACGTCTTGATGAATTCTCCCGACAACACTTCATTTAACACCCCACATCCGCGGGGATGGAATCGACGGGGAAAAGCTGCGTCTCGGGGTTGCGACGGAAGTTTTCGATAAACTCGTCCTGTTGGTTCTCCAGAGATGCATAGGCGGACGTGATGCGCCTCTGGCAATCCAGGACCAAGGCAGGAGTATCCTCTGGCTTGGCTCCGGTAGCTTTCTTGTCGGGCATGGTTGCTTCAAACCGGGATCAGCGCAAAACTTGGCGAAGCGGAGAGATGAAACATACCAACCTGGAAGCCTTTCCAAAGGGCACTGGACTGCTCTTGCGACGGAAATCGGTAAACAACTCGGCTTGGCGAAAACTTGACGAAGATTGACGAATATTGAAAAGGTTCTGCAACCTTCGAAAGACTGAGGTGCTTGGAAGAGGTTGCTTGAGACAAGGTCGGAGAGAGCAGGGCGGCCTGCGACAATGGCAGCAAACCTCTTGAGCGCTATTGCCTGAGCGCCGAGGTAAACACGGCAGGTGCCAGTCACAGGTGTTGACGGGTGTGGGCCGACAGCGACCACCCGTGTCGCTTTGGAAACAGAAGATTAATTGTTTTCGCCCGCTTTTCTTGTTTGCTTGACCCTCCCACCTCCCACCTCCCACCTCAAACTACCTACCAACTCTCCCAACTTTCTCCAGTCTTTTCAAGACCATCGCAAAAGCCACAAATTTCTACGCATAGTTGCTCGTCCAACAAGATAAGTAAATCGCTTTGTCGTCCAAACTTGTGAATCTCGACCAACATTGGTTTTTGAATTTACAAAGATGGCGTTTTCTAACTCGAACGAGGAGGTCAACGACCACTAACATGCCACTGGGATGAACAATCCTCCCCCCCCCTCAACAACCATTCGACCGTCAAAGATTGCTAGATCGAGAACGAGAAGGTTGAATAGTTGATGAGGTGGTTTAGGAAGGAGTGCGACAACCTCAAGAACGGGTTCAAGGAAATCATCAACGACTTGAATGAGAGGCACGAGGCGGTGGAGAAACAGATGCAGATGGTTCAGGAGTTGATGAATGAAGTCAAGAAGGAATCGGAGATCCAGAAGGCTGAAAAGGTCTAGAACAAAGAGGACGGCGAGGTGGCTGGCATCGAGGAGACAAAATGCTTGTCACGACACCTCCCATTCGACACCATGCTACGAACCTCCCTCTCGCCCAGCCTGCCAAAATTGCCAGCCAGGATCTCAAGTCTGGAGAGCCAGATCGACGAGCAAGCACTGGAGCTTCAACGAGTTGACCAGTGGCCGCCATCAAAAACAAACATCAATGGTTTCCTACCATGCATATTGACCTGATTGACGTGACTTGCTAAACTTCTTGACCTGTTGCATCAATGATCATTGTTACACACTGGCTGAATATACCTGAATACCCCCAAGACTAAACATCTGCGGCCGATGACCCTCCTTCCACGTCACAGAGACGCCCGCAACAACAACGTCGTGCCAAGTAGCATTAGTTTTCTTATCAATCTGCGGCCAACTTCAGCAGAGCGGTGCGTGCTGAGAAGCGGGATTCGCATCCTTACCGAAGCTTGGCGAAGTTCAATAGGGCGCTTATAGTTTAGCTAGAAGGTATAAGCCAAAGGCTATCCATCTTGCCTTGTCCGAGTGCGAAGGCTTAAGCAAGAAATGGCTACAAGGTAGTTGTGTGACCAGTTGCGTTCCACAGGACCGCACTTCCTCTGACCTGGACTGACAGATCTAGGGAAATATCAGTCGAAATAAAACGGGTACGGCGTCAGGACTACCAATTGCTTCAAGTTGTGCTGGACATCACATCGCAGCCTTTGCCGATGTCAACGTGCTTGGCAGAGTTAGTCAGCAAAAGTCTCCACCACCTTCCGCCTGCCCCCACAAGCTTAATTCGACATCAACACAAATCACAGAATGCCTGCAGAAGACGAGTCCTCTCCCCTTCTCCCTCGACCTTCATCCTCTTTGCAAACCCAAACAATGGCAAGCAGTGCGATTTTCTGGAAAGTTGCTGCCATTTCTGGTGCGACCGCTGTCGGCTTCGGGGCCTTTGGAGCTCACGGTCTCAAGAAGCGGATTGCAGACCCCGCGAAACTAGCGAGCTGGGGAACTGCTGCCCAGTACCAGGTAATATATCTCTCCGATATTTCTCTCGGCATATGCTAATTCTCGCGCTTCCAAAGTTGATCCACTCTGTCGCGCTGCTCATGGCTTCCGGCAATCCAGTCGCCGCCTCACTCTTCACTGCCGGCATGACAATGTTCAGTGGATCCATCTACGCTTTGACGTTGAACCCTGAAAAGTTCAAGTTTCTGGGCCCGGTCACGCCAATCGGCGGAGTCTGTCTCATTGCTGGGTGGTTGGTGTTGGCTTTTGGCAAGAGGGGAAGTCCTCCCAGGTTCCCGAGATTTTAGGTATCATGATGCTCACAAGGCGGAACTGGAATTACTAAATAAATCATCTCAACTCTGACAGGGGAAAGATCGTTGCTATGACATGTGTCTCGCCAAGCCCGTCATTTCTCATAGTCTGAAAGTCTCGCGTTGCATCATCTCCTCCTCAAAGACCCCGGCAATGTCCAAAACCTTTGCATCATACCCGCTCCCGCTCAAGATTGTGATGCCAAAAGGCATCTTCCGCTCATCACCTTCTTGTCCCCACAACCAAGTCCCTGCTGGTACCGAGACACCACACAAATCCACCACATTTGCACAATGCGTAAAAGTCCCCAGCTCACTATTCAATTTCAGCGGATCAGCCTCCATCTCCTTGATGGTGGGGTGCTGCGTGGTAGTCGGCACCACAAGAACATCTACCCCACCGTTTAGCACATCAAAGACACCTTGCACCTCCCTTGTCAGCCGCGCCTGAAGAGCCTGGTCGCGGAACGCATCGTATACCAACGGGGGGTTTGACATGGCTTTGTCAAACAGCTCTCTGATCACAGGATGCATGTCGGGTAAGTTGGACTGTAGGAACCGATGGCCAATGCAATGAATGCGCTCGTGTAGGAGACTTCCATCGTAGAGGAGGTCTCCAGCAGCAGAAAAGGGGGTGTACTCTACTTCCTTGAGGGTACCTCCGCATGATTGCAGTGCTGAGACGGCAGAGGAGAACAGCTCCCGGTATTCTTTTTTGCAGACTTTTAGGATTGTTGGTGGAGGAACGGCAAAGGTGAACCCACCAACACGCGGGCCTCGGTAGTCAATGTGCCATGTAGGAAGCGTATGGGGAAGTTTGGAGTATGGATCCTCCGGGTCATGATGCGCAATGACTTGCCAGACTTTGCGAGCCTCGGTAATAGAGGGAGCAACGACGGTAATTGTGTCGAGCGTGCGGCAGGCCGGGACAAGACCGCGAGCGGAAACAGTCCCTTTGGTGGGCTTGAAGCCAACGATCCCATTAAATGCAGCTGGGACTCGACCACTACCAGCGGTGTCTGTTGCGAGACCGAACGACACGAGTCTCTCCCCGACCGAAACACATGATCCAGAGGAAGAGCCACCGGGTATGTGCTTGTCGCTGAAGACACTGTGGGGGGTTCCATATGGGGAGCGGCAGCCAGACAGGCCAGTGGCTAGCTGGTCAAGGTTCACTTTGCCGATGAACAACGCCCCGGCATCGAGCACACGTCGGACTGCTGTAGCGCTCACTTGAGGAGTGTATGCATAACTCGGACAGGCCGCTGTTGTTGGCACTCCCGCGACATCGATGGTGTCTTTGACCGAAAAGGGAATACCATATAATGATGGTAACGGCTTTCCCTTGTACTTGTTGACTAGCTTGGTTGCTGCATGCAGCACGTTCGCTTCGGGCTCAAGGTGAATCCAGACCGCTGGATCCACGTCTTTGTACTGGTTGATTCGTTTGTACAGAGACTTGATGACTTCGACGGGGCACCGGATACTTTGTCGGTAATCAGTCAACAACTGGTCGACTGATGGAACGCTTTCGTCTGGAAGGAAACCGAAGCGAGGTTTTGAGTCCTTGTTTCCCATGGGTTTTGCAGGCGGCGTCAGTGCCAGCCCTTGGGTCAAGGCTTTGGCTGATGCTCGGTCGATTGCTTGGAAAAAGTCTGGGCTGTTGCCAACGAACCCAAACAATCCATCTTGCCCCGAAATAATGTCCAGTGATGTGGTCACCTGCTGAGCATCGAACCCCTGCGTGCAGTCCTCCAACACAATGCATTGATAGCCTCGGTCAGCACATTCGCGCAGTGTTGTACTGACACAGCACCTGTTGTGGCAAAGGTCAGCGACGGTTTCTCAACAGCACTATGGGAATGGGTCAAGTACTCCGTTGTTACTCCCGCAAATACTAGATGGGTTATTCCACGTGCAAGCAAGATCCTGTGAATATTCGTGCCCCAAAAGCTTCCTTTTCCTGGTTTGTCAATGACTGTCTCATCCGGCCAGGGGGTGAGTTCATCCACGATATCGTGGCCATATTCTCCTCGGACGAGGAGCTTGCCCATGGGTCCCTGATCACCAATTCCCAGACTATGGTGACCGACCGGGTTGGAAATTTGACGGAGCCGTTTGGCGGCAGGAAGATCAGCAAGACCCGGTTCATGTCCTTCACGCGTGTGAATTACATGCCCTCCAAACGATCGAAAGGCGTCAAGCAGTTTCTTGACAACAGGGACAATTGCGCGTGCTCTGGAAAAGACGGCGTCGTTGCCACATTGTATGGAGCCGAAACCACCGGGGTCAACAAAGTCCCGTTGGATATCAATGATGATTAAGGCGGTCGTTGCTGTAGGACACTCGAAGGCATAGGGTTTAGCATCTTGCAGAGCCAGAATGGTCTTGAGTGCTGGTGCCATGGTGGTGCAAGTCGACCAGAAATGGCTGGCTCAACTTCGAGGGCGCAGTCTTTGCCAAACATCTTATCTTGCAAGAACTAACCGTTATATCCGACTTATCTGGCAGGAGCAAGAGATTTGAATGGCCGGCGTTTGAATGGCCGGCGGTGCGGTCTGTGGGGCCGCCGGTCAACACAACACACTCCCTTCCTCGTGGTCGGTCAGCCGCACCTTATAAACACATCTCCCATGATAAGAGTTTCCCCGCACCCCACAGCGTCTGTCCAATCACTGTCATTACCACAATGGCAAAGATGAACACAGGCATCGCTTATGTTATCTTGACCCGGCGGCCATCTCTGCAATCTTTTGGCCGCCGGCGCCCTTGCGGGGTTGCTATCATCATCACCAGCAAGACAGTTTCACCATGCCGGATGGCGGGCTCAACCGTGGGCTTCGACGGTATCGTCGATGGCTCGGACATAAATTGGCATCATGTCTCACCTCTACAATTCCCAAGCAGAGCAACACTGCAGTCTTGGTTACACCCTTGCCACCATGACGCTCCACGAAAGAATCAAGTCCAAAACCACCAGGCAAGGTTGGGTTCTACCTCGTCAGACCACTTCCTTTGCCGACCCTGGAGCCTGGACCAACGTTGACTGCGATGTCACCCCCCTCAATCGTCGGACCTGGTCGGCATGGACCATGTTTGGATACTGGTTCAGTGATGCACTCAACGCCCAAAGCTGGATGGCACCCGCTTCCATCATCGCTCTCGGGCTCACCTGGCGTGAGGCCATTGTTTGTATCATCTTTGGCAGTCTCGTCTGCACTGTTCCCCTGGTGTTGAATGGCATGGTCGGTGCTCGGCTTCATATCCCCTTTCCCGTCGCCATGAGAGCCTCGTTTGGCTGGTACTTCTCTCGATTTGCAGTGGTGACGAGGGCTATCACGGCCTTGTTCTGGCATGCTATTCAGACTTACACCGGATCGACTGCCATGACACAGATCATCCGATCCATTTGGCCATCCTATCTCGACATTCCCAACAACATTCCAGATAGTGTTGGAATCACCACGCAGGGAATGATATCGCACTTGATCTTCTGGCTGGTGCAGTTTCCTATCCTGCTCATCCCGCCGCACAAGCTCAAGTGGTTCTTTGTAGCCAAGTGTGGTAAGTAAACGACTCTTGGTAGGAATCTCTGCTAATGACCTCTAGTGCTTGTCATCACTACCTCGGTTGCCGTGGTCATCACAATGACGTCCAAGGCTGGTGGTGCAGGGGATATCTGGAACCTTCCGTATGGTGTTCATGGCACGGATAGATCATGGCTGATCTTGTCTTCTCTGTCCTCCATCACCGGCGGCTGGGCAACAATGGCGACCAACATACCCGACTTCACACGGTATCTCAAAGCAGACAAGGGTGTCTACTGGCAAGTTGCCTTTTTGCCAGGCATCCAGCTCATGCTGGGACTCTTCGGCATCATCTGCTGCTCTGCTTCCAAGGTTGTTTATGGAAAGGTACACGCACCTTCTTCCACAATTCGGTTCTCGGCTGACGTGTTCTAGTACATCTGGGATCCTCTCGAAATTGCTTCTCACTGGGACGGCCCCTCTGGTCGGGCTGGCGCCTTCTTTGTAGGGCTCTGCTGGGTAGTAGCCCAGATTGGTACCAATCTTTCTGCCAATGTCATCAGCTGTGCCAACGACATCATGTGTCTTTGGCCCAAGTACCTCAACATCAGACGTGGAGTTATCATCACGACAGTAATTGCGGGCTGGGTCATGCAGCCTTGGAAGATTATCCACTCTGCTCAGTCTCTCCTCGCATTCATGGCGGGATTGGGAATTTTCCTGGCACCGATTGCAGCAATGCTCAGCGCAGACTACTGGGTTGTACAAAAGCAAATGTATGATATTCCGGGCCTATACCGAGCACATGGAAGGTACCGGTTCAACAAATGGGGTACGAACTGGAGGGCAGCGGTGGCATTCTTGATCAGTGTCGTGCCCAGCATCCCTGGGATGTAAGTGTATCTGCTCAATAAAGAACTGCGATGTGACTAACCAAATCACAACCAGGGCTGCCTCTGTTGACCCGTCGATCAAAGGCACGATTGGGGACGCCGATAAGCTTTATTTCATGTTTTATTTCTGGGGATACACAAGTGCGTTTTTGGTATATATCGGCCTGAGTTATTTTTTTCCTGCTCCAGAGACACATATTGCCGCAACGATTTATGAAGATTCGGACATCATCTCAGCCGCGGAGGGTTTTGACAAGGGCGATTCCGAGCTCGGGGATGAGAAAAAGATGGGTGAGAAAGAGGTTGTGAGTTCTGTTTAAGAGCAACCGAGTGAATTGCCGGGGGTGGAGTCAAGTGAATGGCAAATATTGATCTAGCGGTGCCCAACTTTTCATAAATGCATATATTGTGAGACCCACATCAACTGCCGCGCCAAGTTCTTCCCATCACCCTCTCCACCACTGGTTTGATCATCCCGACAACCAACCAACACTTGCCAATTTTTCCACATCCTCTCCTTGCCCATGCATCGCCATCAGCAATCCCAACGACGAGTCCCCTCAACCAGGGAGGTCATCCCGGGCGCGCCGGTCAATATCGTGCTCAAAGTTGACCAGCCCACAGGTCGCACCGTGTCTGGACTTGTCAAGGATGTGCTGACCAAAGGGGAACATCATCGCGGCATCAAGGTCAGGCTTGTTGACGGCCGCGTCGGGAGAGTACAGAGCATGGCATCTTCACCAACATCATCAACCGCTGGCGCTGGCGGCGATGACGCGCTACCAGACCAGGGAGCTCCAACAACCGAGTTTGACATCAGAGAGAGAGGTGGACGTAGGGGGAGGGGAAGATATCATGCCGGGCCGACAGATTGGCGGGAAGAGGAAAGACCCTCGGAACAGGTTGGACTGGATGCTTACATCAAGCCCGCCAAACCAAAGCGTGGAGGAAAAAGAAGCGGGTCAGCGACAGCAACTGCGGACACTGCCCAGTCATTCGACGAATTCTCTGTGGCGGGGCAGCAGACATCCACTTGTCCTGTTTGCAACGACTTCACTGGAGATGCAACAGCCATTGCGCACCATGTGGCTAGCCATTTCGATGATTAATATACTTGATATCCTCATCTCAAGATCTACCGCCTGCAAATGCAATCTTGACCGTCATCTCAGCACCTCTCCTGGTACCTGGATCGACACTGTGTCCAGGTGCTCAACATACATTCTAGACTCTTGGGCCGGATTTTCAAGGGAGCGTTGGCGCCACCTGGCCATCTGCCTCAGAATCGCATACCGATCATCAAACGTCCATCTATTCTGGCTTTTCATCAGCATCCATTTGGCCATAAGAATCTGCCCCTCTCACCTGCCGATTCGTGACGTGTCGGAGCCTTTTTCAAGTCGCAGCTGGGCTCATGTAGCAGCGTGCGCCGAGTTTCTTCGTCCTTTTTACGCACGGTTTGTCATCGTGCCCGCTCATCGCGGGACTGGGTTCCGCCCAACAAAGTCCAACGGGCTCTGCGGCCTATCGGTAGTATGTATGCTCTGTGGACTTTGTGAACGGCTTTGCCCGTAGTTGGTCATTTCGAAGCTGTCAGCATCGTCCTCTTCGGACTTGTGTTTGCGCGTTAATGACTGCACGGGACTTCCGCTTGTCAGGGTGTCGTCCAAATTATCGGCCTCTTTAACATGGGGCGCCTTTTGAGAATACAACGCGGGTGGCGACTGGATTGGCAATGCCAGAGACATGACTGCAGTTCTACTGAATGTTGACCGCGCAAGCCTGGGCTCTGACATGCCAGCTGACCTATATTCGTATGTCTCATATCCGTGGGGTACCTGGCCGCGGCAGGTGCCTCTGGCGAGTGCTCGGAGGATGGGAATGGATGCAGCCATGATGCAGATAGCTGCTTCGGCGTTTCCCCAGATCAACAATGGCACACTGGCAGCTAAGGCTATCAGTCAATTATGGGTGCTTTGAACAGCAGGTGTGGGTAATTACTTGGATCGATCCCATTATGAACGGCAGGGAGAGTGGCAGACTTGATACCAGCTGCTGCGCCTGCGCTGTGGTGGTTGTCAGTCATGCCTTTTCTCCGTGGGCAGAGGGGTGCTCACAAAACTCCCATGCTCATTGCAATCATAACGCCAACTTTTTCTTTGATACTCATTTCCAGGCCCCACAAGAATTTCCATGGTAAGAACGCCAGTACAACGTCAATCGTAGCTGAAAATACTATGAGAACAACTCGGTCAGTATTGCCTGCTGCTCTGTTTGAGGGGGGTTCACTTACCGCACGAAAAAATGTTGTATCGCAACGACACCTCTACCGGAACACACCTCCCCCTCAAGTTGATATCAAGACAGCTTATCCACACCATGACTGCACTTAGCACCAGCGTCCCCGTCAACGAGATCAGAATGGTCCAGACACCAACCCTCACCCAGCGCTCGGGGATTCTAAGCAGTGTCAACGCAAAGCTCGTTTTGCCCCATAAGTTGGCGATGATCAACAATGTTGAGAGAACATTCACTCTGATCGGAAAGAAAGCAAACTTTTCCATTGGGATGACTTGGCGTCCGTATCCCAAGCCGACAACGTCAGAAATAAGACCGGCCTGGGCAGCAAGGAGGACCCAGGAGCCTAGCAGGAAATAATCATCCCACCACAGGCCACGGTTCTGGCAGTTCTTTAGGTAGAGACGCGTGAAGAGGAAGATGGCCGAGACTGATATAAGGAGCCAGACGGTGACGTTGAGCTGGGGCCCGTAGTCAATTTTGGGTTCAAGACGGAACTGGTTCATTGTGGCTGGTATGGGTGGAGACAGATCAGATCAAATGGAGCCTGACGGGAGGGATTATTCAAGATCAAAGACAAGGAGCAATTTGCTGGAAGAGGAAGATCGAGTCGGGTTGAGCTTGGAGATTGATTGCAGAGAGGAAAGCACACCGGGACAAGAAAACACGGCTCGGGTAGACTTTCCGAGAGCTTTAAACTATTCCAACTCTTGTTCATTCATCTGAATTACTCACTGTCAAAAGGCCCCAGGCATGATCTGCACCCAAGCTCCACGTCTCAGATAACGAAAAAGATGCTGGAGCATCGGCCAAGGCAAGGATCTGACATGTGCAGCCAAACAAGAAATGTTTGAGAGAAGGAGATCGTTCTGCACGGCGATCTGAATGGGGAACATATCTGTCCAACAAGTGATGAAGTACACGAGAACCGCAGGTCCACCGAACCCCGTCGTCTGATGTGGTGCGTGGAGCCCCTGGAATGTCATGTCTTGTGGGAGATCTTGCACTCCGCACGGACAGCCAAAAAACAACAACAATCTGGCAGAAGCAGTTGATAGACTGAATACCTAGGTATGTTGAACTGAGGCTCCGATATTCTTTTGCGGTTCCCGAATTTGCAAACCGTGCTGAAACTGCTGTCAGTGCCTCTTAGTATGGATAGATTTAGCCAAGTCGTTGTGGATGCAATCTCGAAAGATGTTGAAGGGGGAGGTTGTTGCCTTTCCGCCTTGACGTCGCATTGTCCCCACACCTGTTGGACCGGGGAAGAAGGGGGTGGAGACAAGACTGTTCCCGAAACAGGGGTGACCCTGCGCATGTTTGGTTCCCAGCTCCCGGTTCTGCTCAAAGTGCTGAATAAGACGTGATAGATGGAAGATTCCGGGCAAGGATGAAGATTGTTAGTATCGGGTCAACTGATATACAAGCTTTAGTCACCCTCAGCCTCGCTTCTTCTGTGCTGCTTTTACATATCGCAGGTAAGGTGTCTATGGATCATCACTCTCTTCCCCTTCCTGAAATAAACATTCCGAGTTATTCTGCCTTCCACGCTTGGTCCTTTATCTATCCTTCCACTGAGTGCGATCACGTAGGAAAAGGCGTTGTAGTTGGAGTCGGCCAAAGCCAGCTACTCCTTTTTGTTTCCATGTACCTTGGTTGACCCGTCCCCATCAAATCATGCAAGGGCATTCAGTTCATGACACTTACGTTTCTCCTTCGTTTTCTTGCAATTCGAGTCCCCATCCTTCTGTGCTACGTATTACAGAGAAGGATCATGGCCTGTCTGCAAATATAGCATCTTGAACATCACATGGTTCTTGATCCCCAATGTTGGTTGTGGCAAATTCCCAGCTGGTTTCAGTGATTCCCGTCGGCATTCTCCGCCGGGCTTGTCCAACCGCATGTACTGACTTGGTCCAGTTAGTGTGCCTAACAAAATAGTTGAGATTGGCAATGCTGTCCTTTTCTTGATCTTTGATCTTTAGCTAGACCTAAACTCTAGGCGTAACACACAACTTTAGAAAGATGCGTCTTCCAACAGCTGGTAGTACAAGCGAAGAAAGCAACTGACCAAGTAGATATTGACCATACGCGGTAAGGTCAGCGTGTGATTTTACAATGTTGCTCATCATGTATATTGACTGGAGACCAGGGTAGTTGACATTTGGGCTCACCGTGGCACCGCATACACAGTACAAGCGCAGGATCCCTCAGCATGACAATGTGTTATTACTGTTGATCCTCTCTTGGAACAAACTAGTAACTATTAATTGCCAACGGCACAGCACCGTCTTTAGCATGAATCAAGGACATGGTTCCACAAGGGACAGGAAATTTCTATCACCTTCTAATTGCAGCAAACGTTTCTCCAACAGCACCTCGCTCTGTGCAACAAAGGCCTGACGTTATCAAGCAATTCAGTCAAACGACTTGATGGGTGGGCTGGATCAAGATTGAGTAGGATCATGAAGCCTGGACGAAAATGCCAACAACTTGATGAGAACAATTCTCAGATAACGGACGAAAACAAGAACAGGTGCCCAAGGCTTTTCTATGAGTAGCCCTAATCATTCCTCAGAAAGTGGATTCGTCAACTCAAGGTCAACCAGCAGGCCCAAAACCCAACATTGCAACAGTTAGATACTCAAGATTTCAACCCCTGAACCATCAACATGAAGACTATCTGGCTGTCTTTTGCTGCCTTTGCACAGGCTGCGATCGCCATGCCCGCCACCGAGGTTAAGCTTGAAGCCAAGGACATTGAGTTCAATACCACCGCCGCGGCCGAAGCTGCTCTCTTGGCCTGCGGTTGCGTCCACAACAATGATGCTGGCCGTTGGGATGATCCCATGAAGCCCAGCGGCAGACTTGCTGATCTTTGCAGCCGTGGTGGTGGATGCCATCAGGCAGCAATCGGACGTATGTGTGTCCATGGCGACACGGGACCGTGTGGTTGCGCTGTTGCTAGCGCCGAGGAGTGCGAATCCTGTGAGTCTTCATTGAAACTAGCTCTTGGTAAGTTGTATTGCCATGCTAATATTCTCACAGGGAGTGTAAACTGGTGGTATGTTTCCATATATTTGATGAGCCGATGAGGTGATACAACTGCTAACAATTCTCGCATTCAGGCTCCGAACCAGCATTCAGTGTGGTGGTCTTTCTGTTACCATCACTGGTTAGTAGTGGAAAACAATGGTCATGATCATGTGTCGACACAACAGGCAAGAAGTTATGATCAGTCTCATACTGGCTACAATCCACATTGCAGGCGAACTAATTGGCAACAAGTATTTTGAACTGGACGGGTCTGATGATCTCTCTTTGGACTATTTTCGGTTTTCTTCTCTCACAGTCTTTACCTACCTAGGTACCTACACCACTTTGCACTGATATCTTCACAATCGTTTCAACTGCAGCATGTCCTTGGTCATGGTGCTTTTCTTCATTTGCAGTGTCAAGCTACTTAGATGCCTATTCGCTTCCCTGACTTGACACGAGTTGACCGATGTTCTATTCTATACCTTAGTCTATATGCTGTTGCCTCATGTTAACATCTAAAAAAGAAGACGTTTTGAGGTTTCTCAAGTCCCTGTCGATGATTCCAAAACCTGGTCATGTCTGTGATCATCATGGTCCTTTTCATTGGTTGCACGTCAGCCGCCACGCTCAAGTAATACAAAGGCCATGCTAGAAGCTCTGGGAGGAAAGATAAACCTCATCAACAACCACATCGTCTCCATTACACAAGAACGCCCAGGAAACCATAGTGCTGCTCTGAGGCCCAACGAGCCGTGCGTACCATGTGTTTTGTCTGACCACCAGAACCGAACGTGAAAAAATTTTCACGAAAAAGAAGGCCAAGGTCAGTTGGTGACATGGGACGCATTCTGCGACCTATCGGGCATCTAAACCGAAGCAGCGTACGTGTGTTACCTAACATGCCGTCAAAGACAAAGCACAGTCAGTACGTGTAACGTCTATTTCGGTTGCACACACTACCAGCAATGCATCTTATTCTACTCTAGCCCATGCTTGCGAGGCGCCCGCTACCATCTGGGATGCAACTATGGTTAGGTCTTCTCTGTGGACTCGCTTGTCGGGCCTTGCAGGAAATACTATGCAGGGCTGTCCACTAACGGCCAACAAATAGGTAATGTTACCTTCTTTGCATCTCTTGGAAGTAAGCAGGACACCACAACTGGCATACTGCCACGTTATTTGCCAATAGACAAGATAGAACATGTAAAAGAAAGTTGCCGCGGCCGGCAAGAAGACGTGATATCTAGGATACCTGGTGAGAATTGGGCAAGGATCGGCCCACCTGTCAGAATAACCCCTGAATCTCACCACTTTTGCCTTTTGGATGACGAAAGCAAAAATAGTATTTCAAGACCATCTTCTCCAGCTGTTTGTGTTTTCTCTGCACTCTCCATCCCTTCTTTCTCATCCCTCAAGCATCTTGCAACATGCAGCTCCTCTCCGCCCTTCTTTTCGCCGCCGGCCTTGCCACAGCAACTCCTCTCAACATTCCCAACTATGCCCAAGCTGCCATTGACTCCGGTCTTGCCCTCAAGGGTCTGAATGCCCTGCTACTCTCAGCGCCCTGACTCGGACTGGCGGCACCTGCACCCCGACCAAAATCAAGTACCGTCGGGAATGGCGCACTCTCTCCAAGGCCGACCGCCGCAAGTTTGTTGCCGCGGTCAAGTGTCTTCAAGGCAAACCCTCTGTCCTTCCCAAAGACGGCACCGTCCCGGGAGCCATCACTCTCTGGGATGACCTCGCTTATGCTCACGCATGGCGTACATTCTTCGTCCACATGAGTGCCACCTTTTTGGTTTGGCATCGCTACTTTCTCTTCACCTACGAGACCCTCCTCGAGACAGAGTGCGGGTGGACCCAAGGGCTACCCTACTGGGAGTGGGGCCTGGACGTGAACAACATGAGAGGCAGCCCCCTTTTCGACGGCTCCGATACTTCCATTGGCAGCGACGGAGTGTTTGTTCCCGGAAGGCCAGACTTCATTCTGGACATCATTGGCGGGCCCGATCCCGAACCCATTCGGGTTGTGTTCCCTCCCGGCACTGGCGGCGGATGCGTCGAGAGGGGTCCGTTCAATGACACGGTGGTCAGGCTCGGGCCTTTCCCTCTCGATGGGACGCCTTGGACCAACGAGACGGTCTACGGCAATAATCCTAGGTGCTTGGACAGAGACTTGAACACGAACCCTCTCCAAAGGTGGTCTACTTTCCGCAACAGCACTGAGCTTATCCTCGGTTATGACAACATACGGGAGTTCCAAGGGTTCTTGGTAAGTCTGCCTTGTCCTTTCGGGCAACCCGGCGATTGAAGTTGCTGACAAGACAAAAAGGAGGGCGACCCCAGAGTGACAACGGAAAAGCCCATCGGCATTCACGGAGGTGGCCACTGGGGCGTCGGCGGCATCACTCGTGATCCAATCATCTCACCCTATGATCCGGCCTTTTGGTTCCATCACAATCAGTTGGATCGAATCTATTGGATCTGGCAGAATCTCGACTTCAATAACCGCAAGGATGTCTTTGGCACGGGCACCTGGGGCAACTTCCCTCCCAGTCCCAACGTCACAGTGGAGGACTTTATTGATGTCTTGCCCCACCAGCCGGCCATCAAGATCAAGGACAGCATGAACACTGTCAGTGGGGCGCCCTTCTGCTACGTGTATGTGTAAACAGGTAGAATGATTTTACAATACGAAGAAGGGATGTGGTAATCATATCTCCCGCCTGTTACTCGTTGAGACCTTTTGTCTATGCAGACGTGGTTAGATTGGCTTTGCAAGCTACCTTGCCTCAGGTACACTCATGATACAAGGGATCTTGAAGCTCTGAGCAGAATTTGATGTCCTATATAGAAAACAAAACAGCGTGCGTGGCATCGGTCCAGTACTACAAGAGTAGGTGTGTCCAGATATGCGCAGAGCTCCCTTTCAGGTCTCGGTCACAAGTTGGATAGGCCCGAGGACACGCAAGGTGGTAGGTGACACGCGGCTGCTAACAGGCGTCCTGTACAAAGTGGCGAGACACCAGAAAGCAGGGCGTGGGGCACGGTTGTGAAGACCTGGAGGAAAACTCAGACTATCTACCCATTTGACGGCCAAGCATCTGACATTTTGGTATGAATGATGGTGTGATTTTATATTCTAGAGGTAGACACGTGTGCGGAATTGATGATATTGTGTTGCTTCTCGAGAAACTGTGATGGTCGTTGTGAGGCGTCGAGGAATACCTACACGAAATGTAATCACGAGACAATCGTCAAAGAATCCGTAAAACTCCGTTTTTAGGCCATACGGTGCTAAACCAGACGGAGATAGCTTTCTCATGCACATGTAGTAGAATATTGGCAGACTTGTCTTAGCTCAGCTGATATGATGATATCCTATCTCATTGAGAGGCACACCACCCTCACGGTCTTCATCAATAGAAAGGCTCTTGAATGATATCCACGACCTACCTTGTTAACTGGTGCCATCTGATACTTGGTTCTGCGTTTGAAGCCATATAGGTAGGAAAGGTGTAGCAAAGCACATTGGACTTGGGCGAAACGTATAGGGTAAGTTCTTGGTGCTTGTGAACTTGTATTTTGCACATATCTGGTATCATGACGAGCACACACTACGTCACCGTCCTGCAATAGAAACCGCGAGAGGGGCGGGTGATGCTCTTTGGGGGGGTCATGGGTTATGGGATTTCCAGAATCCTGCATGATCAGCTCAGCTCAGATAGAAAATGCGACAGTCTTGCGTCTCGTCCGCCCATGCGACGTGGGATGTTGACAAATTGTGTGGGTGAGTTAAGGCGGCGAGGTAAGCTGTTGTCCGGATCAAGCATAGTCAAACTTGTAGTCGGGTGGTTGAACAGGAGCTGCTTTGATGGTGTGATGTCTGAGATGAAGAGTGTTGCATGGAGGTGGACCGGAACATGTAGCGGCTAACAAATCAGATCAGATGAGACCAAGCTGCCAATCTTTCTGTCAAAAAGAAAACAGAAAGATGGCCACCACGGATGCTACCTGGATGTTTGGCCATCCTACCTCTGTTGCAAAGGTATCAGGACAGCTGTGAAACGGTGATTTATTCCGCGCGATGTGAGAACTGACGACAGGCCCAGGCCCAATACGAGGAGGGGCCTGCTGTCGATATGTTGCTGGGCTGCTGCGGGCTCGGCTGAGACACCGGTGAAGCGTGGAAGAAGCGTCAACCGTCCTCTACTATCGTGGCTGGGGAGGGAGTGGGTGTCCTAGCTGCATGCATCTGCGTTGGGGGTGGTCTGTATTGCCCCTTGATTTGTTGGTGAGCACTCCAGACGGATCACACTCACACTCCCCACACTCGGCAGCCAGTAATGGATGGCTGGGGACGCGCAAGAAGGAGGTAGTCTATGCGGGACGTCCAACTTGATTCAAGGCATGGTTCGTGTAGGCAGGGTAGCAGCTGCAAGATGGACGGACACTGCAGTACCGCTCTCGCATCGGCCTTCTCAGCGGATGTGCGATGTTCAGGGAGATGGTGAGGGGATGGACGGGAGTGGGGGTGTTGATGCGGAGCAAAGTCACCGGGCAAAGAAGCAAGAGTCCGATGGAATGTGTGGGGAAAGCAAAAGGTGGTTGAATATCAACAACGTGGGCATGCAGGTTGCGAAATGCATCATGCAAATCCGGGGAGTAGGGATGACGAGGGGTGCAGGGCGTTTTGTGCATATGTCCATGAGGCGTCACCGGGTAGGTATCAGTCACCTTATCGGCAGAGGGCTCAATCCAATCTTCAACTCGGCCTTTCCCGGAAAGGTGTTTCTGCCCTGCAAAAAAATGTTTTTGCTGGGGTTGTTTTGTGGCGGTGAAATTGTTCAAGATAGTGACCTCCTTGGATGTTACCCCGCATGCCCCCCTTCCGACCCCGTGCTTATCTCTTATCGCCATCTCGATGGCTGGCGGGAAGTCCAAGGAGTTCCCTTAACCCCGGCCGTAGCTTGGCGCATTCCATTCCTTTCAAGTCGGTGAATGGTGCTCAACCTGAATCGCTGGCACACTTTCAAACCTTGTGATGATTTTTAAGGCAGTTGAGGGGCTGAAGTGTTGGTTGGCTTCTTCACCGAGGGCTTGGATGACTCCAACGGCGCCCCCGCTTAAGTAGGTAGCTGCACACCGGAAGCTGGCATTGTCACTCAGGCCGTTGTGTTTGGTCGAGAAAACGGTCCCGCCGGTCCTGAGAATTATACAATCACGACAGTACATCCGGCACCCCCACGCTGAAACGGCACATCTGACAGTAATATCGAGAAGGTGATGGTGGGGGAGGGTGAGGTGCGCGCACCTGCCCGTGAGACCATGAGGTGGTCAATAAGAAAAACTGACAAGTCCTGCTACACCACACCAACAAACCGCTTCAACTGCCTATTGAGTCAGTCGGGTTGCTGTGACAGAAGCTCTGCGCGCAAAAGTCAGGGACTCGAGGGACGGTTCCAAATAGAACAAAAGTTAGACGTCTTTGCGGCATCAGGCGGTCGGTGGACAACCCGAAAAGTGCACACCTCAGATCCACGGCTCCCCACCAGTGCCAAGCGCCTCGCCAACTGATCCCACCGCCCTCTCCCCGCCCGCCCTCCAGCCCTTTTAACACCCGAGATCTCGCTCGGCTCGCCACATCCATACATGCCGCTATCTGCGCTCAAGCTCCCCCCCCTCGGTTTCACACGACGCAACATCTCACCACCCGCCGTCTCCGCTCCCGGGCTTGGTTCGAAATACCCTCTCTTTTGAAAACACCCTCGGCCGCACCTCGAGACTTGAAGCTGTCTTTCTGATTTGGCAGCGACTTCGTCGCATGCCCACCCCTGTCTGATTGACCACGACCCCTCGATCGATCCGGCGCCGCAGTCTGCACCACCACCTAGCGGAGGCCCAACATCTCCCTCCTCGCCGCAGCCTGTCCACGAACCTCACCGGCGCTCGACACAATGTCGACGTCCAACCTGGGCGAGTTTCGCCACATGCGCACCGGCAGTCTCAACATTCCACCACAAGCCGGTCACTCGAGTGGTGGTGGGATAATGGCTCCCATGCCCGCCGCCGCCCATCGCTTCGATGCATCACGAAGCCCACCCAGTAGGTTTTGCGATGGCGAAGCACTTTCCTCCAAACCCTTGCTGACCCATCAACTACTCTTGACAGACACCTCGCACGTCCCATGCAAGTTCTTCCGACAAGGCGCCTGCCAGGCAGGCAATGCATGCCCCTTTAGCCACGACCTGAGCTCGGCCGCCGAAAACGTTTGCAAGTACTTTGCCAAGGTACGCCCTCGACACTTGTGTTTGGGAGGACTGATAAGCTGACGGACTGCAGGGCAACTGCAAGTTTGGCCCAAAGTGCGCCAATATCCATGTGCTCCCCGATGGCCGCCGCATCAACTATGGCAAGAACGGTGTGACGATAGGTGTTCCCCCCGGAGTCGCCCTCGGTGCCCGCGTGAACCCGACGACATACCATCAGCCGGCCAGCAGTGCCTTGACCAACTCTTTTATGCGCGCAGATTCTCCATACAACGCCACGGCGTTTGCGCTGCAAGATGAACTCTACAGCCATCAGCTGGCTCTCGAAAGCGGCGTGCCCACGATCGACACCACCTCGTACACTTCCAACCCTGCTTCCGCCTACGGATCACCACGAGACGAGGAGCCAAACCGCTTTGGACTGGGTCTTTCTCCCAACATCAAAGGACTTTCGGTGCTGGATGCTCCCCTCCCGGCGTCATTCGACAGCAACGGGATCTCACATGCGGCCAGGGACGGTCCTTGGCCATCTTCAGTCCCGGCCCAGTTTGGATTGGACTCGCCTTCCTCCTCGCTCAGTGCCGCCAAGAGTGGTCGTACTTCGGATGCGTTGAGGCACTTGCACGCGTCTGCCTTTGGAAACAGCCACCTGTCACCGTCAGGACTTGCAACACAGGACATCTCAGGCTTTGGTAGCAGCCCGCCTTCCGGTTCTCTTGGATTCAGCTCGGCGCTGGGTGGTGATGAGTACTTTGGAAAGCGGCCTATGCACAGCAACGCTTCGCGATTCGCCAAGATCCGCATGATGAGCAGCAGCGTGCCCAAAGTCGACATGGATTGGGATGATTCCGAGCAGTTCCTCTTTGAGGAAGATTATGTGCCAGGCACGCTGGCCAACGAGGTGCTGACGCCGACAGAGAGGGCGAGGAGGGGCTCTACAACCAACACAATCCGTGGCATGGACGCCCTCAACCGTGAGACGATCGCTGAATCCTGCCCGCCTGCCCCCATCACCAAGTTCGGCACTCCCATTCAACCTTCCAGCCCTGGCCGCTGGGGTCCGTTGTGGGGGAGGCAAAAGGAGGATGACGGCCACCCGGAGACGGGCCGGTCTTTTAAGCACGCCTCGGCATTCGGCCATGTGGGAAGCCCGCTCCGAAACTCGAGCCTTGCCAGCGCCATCACATCAGGGCTGGATGGAAACACGGTGGGAGTGTCGGCCCTGACTCAGCAGCTTCGAGACACCCAGCTGTCCGACGACGGTTCGGCTGATTCAAGCCCCCATATCCGGCCCAATGTTCCACGCAATGCCAACGGAGCAGGCGTCATTGGCGAATCCAGGGATAAGGATGGGGGGCTGGCAAGACATGTCAGCAGCACCTCAATAGGTTCGAGCGCTACTGGGCGCTTCAAGTCCCCAATGGATGAAGAGGAGGCCGCATTTGTGTTCAGCATGGACGACGAAGATGATGCCCAGGCGAGGGCTCGCAAGCGCGGAACCGGAAACCAACAAGTGAACAGTACTGCCAGCCCTCTGAGTGCCGCTGCCTGGTCCAACAGCTACGCCACGGTCGTTGCCAATAACAGATCTGCCGGGGCCAACGGCGAAGGCAACAGCGGCACTGGTGCTGTTGAAGCGGTCGGTGGAAGATAATGCTTTGGCTTCAGGAGTTTGGGTTGGTAGGCACAAAAAGAGCAAAAGAAAAAAAGGCAAGGGAATAGACCAACGTTGAAGCGGAGCATGATAACAAAGGAATTGCATCGTCTGCAGCGTACTTTTTACATATATAGCTGCAGCAAGGATCTCAAGGGGCATAGCGTGGTGTGGTTAGGTCACTCTTGAGGGAGGCATACATCTCGACACCAATTGCCTGACACTGTCAGGATTTGACTTGTGGGTATAGCCATCTTGTTTCTTTGTATCACTCTCTTTTGTCTGGATATGTACGGTGTAGGAAATCGGTCGGGGCGGTGTTTTGTTTTTACTCGTTCTTTGCAGGCTCTCGAGTTCTTTTTCAGGAGTGTTTTACCACAACGTTGTCGTTGCTCTCCCAGGAAACATATCACACATGCATCTCGACTCCCAAATCCGTTTCCTTTCTGGTTGAAGTTGCGGTGTTGGTGTGGCCACGTGAGAAACTTCGAGGATAGGTATCGACAAGGATAAATGTAATGGCAGTATATGTAATACAGAGGCAGTAGATCGCTCAGTACATGGAAGCAGAGAATAACCAAGAGCTGGTTGGCGGTGAAGTAGAGTCTGGGCCCTCTGGATGCCAACATGGGTTTCTTGCCATGCAGGTTGGATACCTAGAGATATTTATACAGAATCGAACAGACATAAACAGACATGTCCAAGATAGACAGCCTTTGGCAGCTTTGCTGATCGGCTTGAATCGCAAAAGACATGCGACTGGACAGATTCCTCCTACCCCTTCATGGCTTGATGCTCACCAGCCCCAGGCAATAGCAGTTCCTCTGTTCCATAGATGCTATGTAAGTACCATCTCGAGACTTGGTAACTGTATTGTGATACATGAAATGAGTTGTGAGTATGGTACAAGGCGGGACAGGCGGCAATGGCGGCGACAAGAAACGGCCCAAATACAAAATACAATTGTTGGTGCTCTATGTGGTTGTTTTTCCCCCATCCATTATTAAGCCGGCAACAACTGCTTAATTAGCATCAGGCTGGGAGGTGATATACTCGACGGCCTTGTCAACTGTTGACATCATACAGGTTAGAATCATCAGCTTGCAATGGGTATGGGCTACATACCACTGTGAATGGTGTCGGCATCCTTATCGGGGATCTCAATGCTGAACTCCTGTTGCCCATGTCGTTAGTATCCCTTCCCACGTCACAGCAAAGAGGGGCAGGGGTCATCCATACCTCCTCAATAGCCATCACAACCTCAACGGTATCCAAGCTGTCCAACCCGAGGTCATTGGCGAAGTGGGCGGTTTCCGTAATCTAAGCCACCCGTCAGCTCCCATTCTCCAAGGCCATATATCATTCCTCCTCCTTCTCCTCCAACTCCTCCACACATTTCGACAACCATGGGTTGTTGCCGGCCATAGCACTCACGTTCTCGGGGTTGTTGACCTGCAGCAAAAAAGCCACTGTTAGCACCTCTCCATGACCAGAAACAAGAACCCAAATGCAGGACAAAAAGCACCTTGTCAAACCCAGACAGAAGCTCCTTGATTCTCTCGTAGACCTCCTGCTTTGTGAGACCACCACCCGACGCATAACCCCGCATTTGAAGAGCCCAGCTGGCAGAGGCCTTGGGGACGAAGCTCTTGGCCGCAGAGGGGGCGGCTAATCTGAGGGAGTGGGCAGCGGCAGAGCGAACAGCGGCGGTCCGCGACGCAAGAGCGACGGACCGGAGGACGGCGGTGCGGAACATTTTGGCGGGAGGTTGGTTGGACTGGAAAGGAGTGAAAGCTCGCGGGGGTTGGTGTGTGGCCGGTGGAAGTGGGCCGGGTGGTCGAGGCAATTGACGGCGGAGACGTTCGGCGGGGGGTGGTGGTGGTGTGACGGTTAGAGGTCTGCTTGATGATAAATTTCTCGCCTGGGAATGGCAAGCGTCGGGATGCGTTAAACTCTCTGGCAGCTTTCGGTGCTGCGGCACTGCGGGACGGACAGCTCCAGCTTTGCACCCGGTCTGTGCACTGCATCACGTGACATGCGCCATGACGCATGGCAATGGCCTCAGCATTTGAGACTGGGACAGCACGGGACAAAAAACATAACTTTTGGGTGGTGGGACATATGTATAACACTATTTACAGGTCTTCTGAGCCAACATCTAACCATCCGCAAGAGCACCTTGATTTCCTCTACACCCATCTTTACCGGTAGGGAGAGTCCGCCCTGATAGCCGCAGCCAGCTCCGGCTCCCACTTGTCTCCGTTGGAAAGCAATTTCTCTGTGCACAATTAGCCCAAGCTTTCCCTTGAATGAGACAGTGAGGAGGAACCCACCCTTGTTGTAAAGCAGCTCCTCGCGGGTCTCGGTGGCGTACTCGGCATTGGGAGACTCGACAATGGCGTCGACAGGGCAAGACTCCTGGCAGAAACCGCAGTAAATGCACTTGGTCATGTCAATGTCGTAGCGGGTGGTGCGGCGGGAACCGTCCGCACGCTCTTCAGCCTCGATGGTGATGGCTTGCGCTGGGCAGACAGCCTCGCAAAGCTTGCAGGCAATGCAACGCTCCTCACCCGAGGGGTATCTCCGGAGAGCGTGCTCACCGCGGAAACGGGGAGAAATGGGGCCCTGCTGCTGTCAGCCGGTCTGGCCTCATGAAATGCGCATCGCCCTTCCCGCTCTCATCCATGACCGCCCAGGCTCTGGTATTCTCTAATCGTATCTTCCCAAGCCCTACCCTCTTGACAGCCAGCTGTATAACGCACCTTTTCGAATGGGTAGTAGATCGTGTACCTGTTCAAGTCGACCTCTGTCAGCCCCGCTGCCCACACCCAGCTACCCGTCCAGGGACAAACACTCACGGTGGCCTGAAGAACTGCTCCATGAGCACGTACATCCCCCTCATCATCTCCGTCATCAAAAAGTACTTTCCAAGCTTGTCGAAGGTGCTCTCGGACTCCTGTTCCCACGTCTTGGGGGGCGGCAGACGGAAGTTCTTGGGCGGGGGCCCAGCCGGTGTCGCATACGTTCTCCTGGCGACAACCTGAGAGATGACTGTGGAAGAGGGGGCGACGGCGCGAACTGCGCGCACCAGAGGGCGGGCCGCAATGGTGGTATTGGAAAGCATGGTGTCAACGTCGATTCGGTCGCTGGGTTCGAGGGGTGTTGGCAAGCTGGGAGGGACTTTTGGTGCTTCGAGAGACCGTCGCGGGGACGACTAAGAGGCTGGTGCCGAAAGGAAACTGGCGATCAGGTCAATTGGGCCTGCACGCTGCTGCAAAAAGTGCGGTCGCGACACCGACAGCAGAAGTATTGAGAGTGGGGTGGCGGAGGCGAGGTTGACAGAGCTCCCCGGTGGCGCTTGACGTCGTCTCGATATCCCTGGAGCTTTGGGTCATGGGAGTTGACATTTTGGAGCTGCCGGCGCTTGGACCACCCCACCGCATGATTACATTTCCCAGCTTCTGATTTGCTGCCCCGTCAGCATGTGGGGCCCGGCCACCAAAGGTCCATTCACGTGCGTCTCACGTGAGACTTCCAATGCATGATGATGATGAAACTAAAAAGGGGTATATTTTGTCTAAATGTCTCGCTGTGCGCCAAGTTCCTTTATTGATCAATCTTGCCCCACGTTGTCCACCACACCCCCATGTTGGCTGCCACCACCAGATCCAGCATCTTGAGCCCTTCATCATGGATAATAAGCTTCCCAAGCTTGACCTTCTTTCCACTGCTCCCACCTCCAGCGTTCTCTTTGCCAAGGCTAAGATCCATCTCATCCTCATCACTCCATTCATCCTCGTCGCTGCTCCTTGTATTTTGATGGTGCAGTAGACTGCTAAACTGTTTCGACAGTCGGCTTGCCCGGTTGTCCTTGTCGGCATCATTTCGACGAGCCCCAAAGAAGTCGCCGCCGTTGGGCAGGTTGAACCTCAACTCACTAACCGGTTTCGTGCCCAAAAGGGCAGCCTGGAGCTCATCGCCCCTCGACCGGCCCATAGCCTGTGCGTTTTGGATGCTCTGCGCCACCTCCCGAGGATCGAACTGGAACTTGGTGGTAGAGTCGAGCACATGGCGGAGCTTGAGGGAGCGCCCGCTGGTGCTGGTGCGGAACTCACAGCGCCCTTCCCACGGTGACAGAAAGGTGTATCCTTTGGGCCGCAACCCTGGTCCAGGGTGAGTGATGATTCCGCCCTGCTCCTCGCCTGACCCAGAGTGATTGGATCCAATCGTGGAGGAGCTCCTCTGCCTGGTATGGGATGCCTTGGGTGCGCTGGGCTCTTCGGACGACTGCACGCCTTCTGGGCTAATGCTCTCCCGCCTCTCTCGTCGGTGGAACGCCTTTTTAAAGCCCGCTTTCCAACCAGCTCCATAAGCCATGACAACCTGTCTGTGAAATCCGTCTTGGGGGGGAGGAGCCATCCCCCGCGCACCACTGTCACTGCGCGCTCTCTGTCCACTCTGCACCATTTGTGAGAACGAATGCGGCTGGCCCGTTGAAGTGAGTGCCTGGAGAGCCTGGGTTTCGGCAGCAGCCCGGCTGGGCATCCCTCTGTACTTTGCATATCCCGAAGTGTCAATGCGAATATCAATATTTTGAGACTTCCACCCGGACCCCATGTCCTCTGGGTTGAGGCTCGGGTCTGCCTGCGACGGTGGAGGAATATTGGTGGCAAAAGACGACACCTGTCCTACATTGACCTGGGATCCAGAACTCGGATCTCTGCGAATTATGGTCAGATAAAAAGAAACCGAAGAAGGTCGCCGATGCATGTGCCTAGGTGACGTGGGATGTTGTCCTTGGCTATACGACAAAGGAGATGCCACTCGCTGCGGAGGTTGCTGTGCAGGAGGTTGACTCGGTGTGCTTGGTCGGGCTGCACTTGAAGAGTAAAGTGCAGGTGCAACATTATCTTCAACATGATCGAGACCCGCTAGTGGTGAGGATGAAGACACTGTCGTCAAGTGAGGAGGGGGCGGGGGCGGCTCAGGCGAGCCCCCCGATAGGCGTTTTCGAAACATGGGGTTTGGCCTATATGAATCGAGTGACTCGTCGGCGGGATTTTGGTTTTCTGATATTGGAGATGGGCCAGTCTCTGGTCGGTAAGGCTTGTACTGAGGGATATGGGGAGTTGGGGTTGGTGAGAGCACTGGAACTGGACCTGGTTCCCCCGTTGACGACAAGCTTTCCGGCCTCAGAACTCTCGCGGATGTAGGCAACGGCTTCCTCGGAATCGTGCTCCTAGCACTCTCCCCACTGGACCTCGTGGAACTCAACACATTACTCTTTGGTCGTGGTGGCATGGGTGGTGGCATATCCTCTGGTCGCTCCATGTGGATGTAATAGAGAGAATTCGCTATGTCTTCACCTGTCACATTCTTCCTATGCGGCCTCATGGTAGAGAGTACCACATCTAAGAGGCAAGGTTCCAGATTAGCAAAGCAGTCACAATAAAAGAAGAAACCGTACAAACCTTTTGTACCGGGGACTCTGGAGATGTACAGCGTGAGGGATTCTTTGACTTCGGGATGGTGGGGATATTGCGGAGGATTTGCAGCGATGTAGTTGATGTCGGCCAGAGACCTTGCCTCGGCACGCGGTCCAGCTGCCATGACTTGCGAGTACCTATGTTCGGGAAGCAGCCTGGTGTTTTGGTGGTTTGCCTGATGTGGTAGACTTGGGGCGCTGGATCGTGGAGAGACGAGGTGACGTTGCCTCCCCCCCACTGCTAGAAGTAAGCACCACGGCGCTGTGTTGGGTGTTGGGGCTGGTGTTGTGAAGAAAGCGGACGGATCCTGTTGCATCCAAGGGACATAAAGAAAACAGTTCCAGAAAAGCCGTCCCTTAGCACAGAGTCACAACCCACAGCTCATTGCTTTATCTGAATCGTTGCACCACTGTCCATTGCGTCCAAAATTGCCCCAGTCCCGCCAGTGGGGTCGGTCCCGGTGGTTGAGTGAGGGAGCCGTGGAGCTTGGGCCCATTCAGCGGGCTGCTTGGTTTTTGGTGTCGCTGCCCAATTGGGTTCTGTCCTCCGCCAAGACCCCGAACCGCAGCGTCGTCAAACATCAGAATCACATTCACAGCTGACAGCACTACATGTATTAGGAATGTCTCTCGCAACAACGACCGAATACAAGCGGCGCGTCCAGCGCTCAAAGACAGGCAGTCTACAACATACACGATGGTTGGTTTGAATCCATTTCGCCCATTTCCCTGGCTTCAAATTCCTTCACGTCAACATGATATCCACAAAACATGCCAGTACGAATCAACGCTAATACAAAGAGACCAAACAACAAGTCGAGGAAAATACAAGACTAAATCCCAAGACCAATAAAAAGGGATAAATATCACTACCAAAACCGACAACAATTTCGTTTTCAAGATCTTCACGCCGTCCTCGTCTTTTGAACAGTCAGCGCAGCAAGGTCGTTGATGGTCCCGCTGCTCAACAACTCCAAGATCTGCAAGTTGGCTCGGAACTCCTTGGCGATCCAGTTTCGCAATTCAATGGCAGTCAGTGAGTCCAATCCGTAGCTGGTGATGTTCCTCGCCACGTCGAGATCTTGAATGTCAACCGTCAGCACTTCCGACAGCTTCTGTAGGATACCTTGGCCGGCGATGTTGGCCGCCTCTTCGTCACTGCTGGCCGCACGGAATGCATTTCCTGGGGAAATGGTCTGCTTCGGCATCAAGCCCTCACGCTCGGCGGCCGCAAGACATTCGGCCTTGAGCTCGGTGAAGCGCGGATCCGAAGCATAGTAGGGCCAACCGCCATCAGCGCCGAGGTGCAGCTTGAGACCAGTCAGGCATTGCGCCGGGCATTCTCCTCGAACCGCAGCCGAAAGCAGGGCAAGGACCTCCTCCTCTGAGACCGTCTCATGTCCAAAGTTGCGGATGATGTCCTCGCTGCGCTCCGCGTTCTCGGCAAGATATCCTGCACCCGTGACGGCTGTCAGATCGAGCGAGGTGCCAGGCAGACCGTTGAGTTGTCTGTGCTGCACAAACGCGTCGAGAAAGGTGTTGGCCGCGGCGTAAGCGCCCTGGCCACGAGATCCAAGAATGCCAGACGCCGATGAGAGGACGACAAAGTAGTCAAGGGAAATGGACTGCGACTGGAGCACGTTGTGGATGTTCCAGGTTCCTGCTACCTTTGGCCGGATGACCTGAGTGTAGTCTTCGTGTGTCATGCCTTCCAGCAACACATCCTGCGTCGTTGTTAGCTTGTGCAGAGGAGTTTAGTGACTTTTGGAGTTACTTACACGAAGGACCATTGCTGCATGAATGACACCGCAGATGGGAGGGAGGGATTTGGAGCACTCGGCCACAAGCTGTTTCACTTGCTGTTCGTCACTGGCGTCGCACTTCTTCACCAACACACGCGCATCAGGGCAGTTGGCCTCTTTCTGGAGCTGATCAACCATCTCCTTGCCAATCCCACTGCGCGATAGCAGCACTATGCTGCGAGCGCCATGCTGGATCATGAATTTGGCCATGGATCGGCCCAGACCGCCAGTACCACCTACGATGACGTGGGTGCCGTCCCTGCGGAAGATGCTCTTGGATATCTGGTGCATGGCCTTGACCTGTTCCTTGGGTCCGGCAACCACGACGACGGGGTGCGCCGCGCGATTGTGCACCATCTCCATGCCCCTCGAGAGCTCTGAGACGGGAAGAATGGTGGCATCCGAAGGCGCTTTGATCACACCACTGGCGATGTTGTCGACAACCGCCTTGAGAGTACGCTCCATTGCCTTTGGTCTGGCAGCTGCCACGCTTGCCATGTTGAGCGAGGTGAAGGTAGCGTTGTCCCCAAGCCCTGGCCTCGTATTGGCATGGGTGGCTGACGTTCGGATCTCAACAAAGCGTCCAAAGTCAGCAAGGCATTCCCAAGCAACATTGGTCTCGTTGCCGGATAGTGTCAGGACAACGTCCATGCCTTCACCCATCGTCGCCTCCTCCAGCTGCCGACGGAGATAAATGCTGTGAGCATTCAACACACGCTCCCTCGGGACACCTGCCCTCTTTGCTGTCGCGGCTTCGTCATCGTTTTGAACCATGACGTAGGCCGACGCTCCCAAATGGCGGGCCACTTCGACGGCAGCAAGACCCGCCGGGCCTGC